CGGGTATTCCGAATGAGAGATTTTCGCCTGGTACTGTGGACAGGTAATCTCCTCCGAAACTTATACAGGGTGTTAATGAATAGTGGGATCAAACTTCTAGGATAAATAATACTCATTAAAATAAGAAAAAAGTTAATAAAAACTTAGGTCCGCGAATGCTTAGTTTTCAAGATACAGGGTGTCAAAGTTTGAAAAAAAATCGGTTTTTTAGCTCAAAATCCCTTTTCCAATTCTCTTTTTTTAATTTTGGCAGGTTTGTTTGTGATAACAAAAGGTATCTTTTGACTGTAATATGACTTGCTTAATCTGAAAGAAATATCAAAGTTATAAAAAAATAGTGACATGTGTTACGATTAATTTATCATTTACGTAACATGTTCCATCTCTTCTTATTTTCATTATAAAGCTGTATTTTTTTCATTTCAGAATTCAAAATAATTACCAATATTCTAAAAATATCCATTAAATTCAAATTTAAATTCAAGTATTACAAGTGCTGCCATCTATCTACATTTGCGTAAAGTGCAAGTATCAAGAATAGATTTTTTAGTACTGCCATCTAGTGCCCGATGATCGATCTATATTTCAAAGTATGATTTCTTATTTCGCATTTGGCAGTTATTTGTATTTAATTGAAAGAAATTATATTCATCTCACTTTTAGCAAATGGATATATTTCTGTCCTTTTTTACCTTCTTATTTTTTAAATATTCATTTTTGGCTTAATGATCCAATTAATTAACAGTCTTTTATCTTTGACATAACCTTAATTTAGATTATTATAATTTGTAAACAATTAAAATATAATTTATTCCATGCGGTCTTTTCATTGTGTTTTCATTTTGAAGTGAATATGGTCTTTGGGAGTGTACTCGTTTGATTGGTTCAAACTGGCTGGAATGCAGTAAGTATAAAAAAACACAGGTTCGTTTTCCTGCTAGCTTGGTTCTCTAAAACGATTTCTTCTTGAAGAACACTCTGGCCAGGCAAGTCCTCTATTTTTTTTAAATAATTTATGTGCTTTGAATTTTTGGATCCTGCCCTATAGATTTTTCAATATTCAAATTATCCTATCTTTATTAAGCTTCTACTGCTACCTTATCTTATCTGTTTTTTGAAATATAAATATTATATTTTAATTTTTTTTTATCTAATTGTTGACTTCCATTTTGTGTGAATTACTTTGTTTATTGGTTAGTGCCACGTTTTGTTGTAATTGGTAAGTCAAGACAAGACAGTTTGGTTTTAAATAGGTACTGCTGCTCTGGCTTTCAGAATCAATTTTTAGTGTGGGAAAACTGGACCATTTGCTCTAAATAGAGTCGGTGAAAACCAAATTTGTGAGTCCATCCCCTTTAATCCTTTATTGAATCCAGACAGAGGCCTGAACAGCCATTTTCTGCTTGACTCCTTAAATTATTATCTTAACTAGAGGGTGTAATTTTTTAATAGAAATCCAGACAGGTCAAAAATTCAGTTTAAAAGTTTTAATTAAAACATCTCAAGAATTTTGACACATTCTGGATTTGATTAATTTCAACCCTAGGTTTATCTCGAGGTTTATCTAGTATCTGTGGTAACTAACTTAATTCGAGGTGGGAATTTTGTCTATTTGGGGAGGAATCCAGACATTTGATATCTTAATTTTTTTACTTACCTTATTTTTGCTCATATTTTCTCTTGTATTTTTGCCTGCCAGAGCTGTTTTTCAAGGAAGCAGCATTTTGCTCGATTGTAACGAGCATTCTAATTTATTCTTGTTATTACCTTATTTTTTTTCTATTATCTTACCATTGATTTGAATTATTTAATTGGTTTTTTTTTTATATTATAGTTATTTATGTATCAAGGGAATTATGCAGGTGTTAATACCCCAGGGCAACGTTTGTGTCCCGAGGGCCTCCGGCCCGAGGGACACCAATTCTGTCTATTTTTATAAAGGAATAAGCCATAAATCAAAATTTCTATTTTTTGTCAAAGTGTTACCTATTCAAGGTAAAAGCGGGAGGTATGGAAATCCTTAACTCCCTTGGGAGTTATGATATCCTTAACTCCCTTCCTTAACTCCCTTGGGAGTTATGAAAATCCTTAACTCCCTTGGGAGTTAAGACCCTGTTTATGATTATCGTAACCAAGGTATTATATGGTTTTAATAGTTCAGTAGGATATAAAAATATTAATTTTTTAACTTGCAATAGTTTTTCATACCTGATTCTGTTGAAGGGGAGTGTCTGTACAACAATCATTTTATACCAAATTTCAAATTCAATTTCTTTTCCAAAACACTCACTTTTTGACAGAATACAGGATTTTAATGTTCCAAATATTGGTGAACCTGATACTGCCTTATTCTTTTCTGGGTACCTACTCTGCATAAAGATCACTGTTTGGAGTCTGGATCAGCTGAAGTGACGTCACCCCAGCAATCTACCCTCTTCCTGGAAACAGGAAACAACACCAAGAGCTCCAGTTCACGAAAGTGAAACCCCAACACCCATTGAAGAGCTCCGGATTGGAAAGGTACATACTAGGTATCAGATTCACCAAGAAAAATCAAGCTGTTAGCAGTGACATTTTACATATTTTACATAACATTGTATGTACACAAAATAAAATTATTGTTTGTTGGATTTTTGAGTGGTTTCATTTGCACATAAAGGGACTACACGTTATCTTATTTAATTTTTCTTTGAATTCACGACCCTGGGTTATCTTTATCTTAAAGTATACAAATCTCGCAGTTTATTTGTAACACATGCTATTTTTTTTCTGCTTCTACCAACGTAGTTGCCCTCTGGGGTACCACTAGAATAATTACGGTAAATCTAATTGAATCAAAAAATGCCTTTTGTTATTATTACACACAAATCTGCCAGGTTTGAAGAAATTCGGGAAACGGATTTTGAAAAATCGATTTTTTCAAACTTTGACACCCTGTATCTCGAAAACCAGGCATTTGCGGACCTATGTTTCTATTCACTTTTTTCTTATTTTAATGAGTACTATTTATCCTAGAAGTTTGATCCCACTATTTATTAGCACCCTGTATATTTCGTGTTCGTAAAGTCGAGGACTGGTGCTTCTGTAGTTACTTTTTGTGGCCTCCGATCCGTACATGTAGCTGGGTCTCCGAAACATTATCATTACTGTAAGTTGCTACCATTTTCGTACCGTGTACCGTTTCCCATCTACTCATAGTCCGGATTTAATTTTCATTGCTTGCAACATAACGTTTTCAAATCGCACACCGCCGCATATAACACACCTCCTTACACTCGTTTCTGTATTTCCCGGATCTTACTCATTAGTCATTAGGGTGAAGTTAATAATTAGGGAGTTGCTGCGTAAATGTTTTGCCGTTATACAGAGTTTTATTTTAAGTTGAATTTTACTGTTTTCCTGCATTTCCCCCAACCCCGAACTTTTCAGGAATCTTACAGGGAATCTGGTCAAGCAGCTATTGGGACCCCTGGGTTACCGTTACTCCACTGTAACAAGCTACCTGGTGCACGTGGGCCTTCAACCACTTTAATCCTGAGGGTGGCGCTCGAGGCAAACCGTTGGATAAACAACCGATTATTAGCCCGCATCGACTACGCAACGAAAAGCGCCTAACAAATTTGGCGCCCGAGCAGGAACGTGTTGATGCTCCCGCCAATACCAGTTTAGCCGTATCCAGACCAGCGAATACTGTCTCATAAGGCCGTTCTGCGGAATTCGGTAATACGCATGTGCAGTGAGTTGATTTATACCTACTTTTTGACTAAACCGAGGCTGCTGAGTACAATAACCGAGACTGCAAGTTCGCCGGCCTGGTAGTGTCTGAGATATCGATGTTTTAGTGTCGAATTAGACGAAATAGAGGTTTTCCGACATTTGTGGGCTCTGAACAATAAACCTTAGGAGGAATCCATTTTATCGATATAATAAGACCGAGGCAAAACCCAACCGAGATTCTGCTTCTACGAATTTGGCTAAAACATGATTACCGGAGGTGCCTCAAATGATGCTTGAAAACCACCACGTCCGTGACGATCATCAGCACCCATACCACTACTTCACCTTCTACTAATGTAGCACATCCACCCACAACCGTTAGCACTAGCATGCCTGATCCGTATGCCAGTGACGTACGAGTGAGCTGGGTATACCAGTTGAAAAAGGACGATCTGCTTGTCGAACTGAGCAAAAAACCGTCCCCTGAACCCTAAGATGCAAGAGATAATAATTACCAGGGAAGTCGAAACAATGCTGGCAGATGGCATAATTGAACCCTCAACCAGTCCATGGATTTCACTAGTGGTCAATGTCCGTAAAAAATATGGCAAGTATCGGTTCTGTATTGACTTCCAAAAAGCTAATACCATTTCCATAAAGGATGCGTACCTCTTGCATCTATCATCCTACATCCTACATCCTACATCAATGCCATTTTGGATAAGCTCCGGCGGGCCCGCTATAATTCCAGCATCGAACTACAACAGGGTTACTGGCAGATTCCTCTAACCAACGATAGCAACCCCATAACTGCATTTACCGTACCGGGCTTAAGCTTATTTCAGTTCAGAGTGATGCCATTTGGTCTGCATTCCGCCCCGGCCACTTTCCAGAGGTTAATGGATAGCATTATTGGACCTGAACTCTATTCTCAATGCTTCGCGTACCTTGACGATATTATCGTGCTAGCAGAAACGTTTGAGGAGCATCTCAGCAACCTAAAAGAGGTAGTCGAGTGACTCCGCCAACTTAAGACTGAATCCGGATAAATGTCAGTTTGGCCGTAAATCTCTACGATACTTGGGGCATTTGGTAACCTCTGACGGAATCCGAACCGATCCTGAAAAAGTCGCTGTCATTCAACAGCTTCCACTCCCAACCCATTTGCGAAGCTTAAGGCGATTCTTGGGTGTTGCCTTTTGGTACCGACGGTTCGTTCCTCTTTTTTATTCAATGAAAAAACCAACAAAACGAATATGTTTTTATCAACAAAACCGTTTTGGTTATTCATAACCATTTACAACTCGATTAGTTCTTACCTTGCAAGCTTTACCCTCAAATAGAGTCGAGGTGCAGCACAATTGAGTTGCGTCTTTGGTTGGATCAATGAAGCATTTATCCGGAGTATTGACGTGTAAAATCGCCTTCCTAAGTCTTTCTGGTTTTCTTGAAAAATCTAGAAAGCCAAACTTTTGGGATATCGAATATATAATCGCAACTGGCACACTATAATGTCACGGCCAATAACGAAAATAGATTGAATTACGAAGATGATGATGATGGCTACAATTACCGTTGATAAAGCCAAGTCCTGTAAGGTAAACAGTTTGTCCTAATAGGTTTTCACTTGTATTTGTGTGTAGCCTAATGGAATTCACCAATGAAGCTAAAAAAAAATTATTTGTGACAAAATATTAGTTGACAAAAATCAAACCTACATAGTTTTACAAATCTCTTTAATTTAATTAATCCAATATCATGACTGGCACTGGATTCAAAATAAGCTTTATGGATAATTGTCTCTTTAACATCCAATTTTTGTCCACCTCTCAAATCAGAATATATACTTCCCACAGCAACTTTAAGTAAAGACCTAAACACAAATAATATATTGAAATCCATTCGATTGGAGTCATCACATTCAACCAGAGTTGCACTCTACTAACAAAGTTTACAAGCAACAACAAACTCTAATCCAATAGTAGTTTAGTTAAACTTACGTAGGAAATTGTTTGCCATCTTGTTCCAAACAATGCGCCGCAGTCAAGACCCATCTCGGATGTATTAAGCTGCCACCGCAAAATATTAGCTCGGTGCCATTTACTTGTGCCAGTAACGCGGTCTGATGGGGAAAATCGCTTTCTGACGGTTCAATTGGTTTATTGAAACCCTGAAATAAAGTAGTTCGATGTAGTAACTATAGAGTTTAATGAGGTAACTTTGATCGGATGTTTAAATTTGTCATTAACAGTGTAGGAGCTGACTGACAGAGTCCTGTAGTTCACAAACTTAAAGTAATTATCCTTATGAATAGAGATAATTTCAGTTAGAGCTTTTGAAAGACTGAGTTTACAAATTTTAGCAGATAGAGTGCATGTTTGTCCGGAAGAGAACTAATGACTTCGCTTCTGGTGTTTCTAGTTACAGCTAGTAGAAGTTGTTAAGGGATGTTTGGCTATAAAAATTTCATCCATTAACACTGCTTACAAGTAGCGATAGGAAAAAGTATTCAAACAGGGACAGTAGACAGTAGCATTCCATTCAGTCCATTCTCATGCCTATTTTAATCCAGAGAGCATCAATTATCCCTATAAGGGTCAGCTAATCTCATTTGGAACCCTCACCCAGTACTCCATGTGAACAACCAACCACGTCCAAGATCCCTTGTCCTATTAGGTATAGTAAAAACGTGATTTTTTAACTGTGATCGTCCGACTATGTTTTTAATTTGTTGAATTTTCACTTTCAACTTTGATGTGACTCATTGTTCACCTGACAAAGTAAGTAATTCACCTCAACTTCGATGTGACTCACTGTTCACCTGACAAAGTAAGTAATTGACCTTCATTTATCAGTCTACTGAACTGTCAACGCCGCTGGTGACCCTAGACAAGGTGAAGTATGGATCCTATACATAGAGAAAATAAAGTGGGTGCAATAACACAGCCCTGTTAAACGCCTGTATTTATTCGAAATGACTCTTCTTGTCCATCGTTGCGTGACAGTTGCATTTAGATCATCATGCAACAGGCGGAGTAATCCAGGAACATAAAGAGTAGTAGGTACATCCTCTATCGAGATTTTTCACCTGCTTTTTATGTTACCACCGCCACCTGGTTGCGACGGTTGGGCAAGGGAGACTTTGTTTTAGCACTGGTAAAGGCCTTTTTTGTACTGCGGTAGCGTGCCACCAGGGACTTTGTTTGAAGTACCACTGAAAATCTAAGAATGAACGGATACTTTTTAGTAATCTGATTAGATTGCATCTTCCAGGGGCCTTATTCTGTAAGGAACGAACCGTTCGATTCGGTAGAATTTCTTCGATTGTGACGTCATTTTCGGTTTGGTAGCGCGAAAACCAAACCGAAAATGACGTCACAATCGAAGAAATTCTACCTAATCGAACGGTTCGTTCCTTACAGAATAAGGCCATGTGCGGGTTCTTGCTACCTGAGCTGTACGCAGTTAGTTGGAATGCTAGCTCGGGGTTTTCCAAAGGAAATGAAAGAATTAGTTTTTCTTACTAAACTCTAACAATGGTTTATTGAACAAATGGTAAATCTTGGTAAGGAAATGAAAGAAAAGCAAAGAATATACAGTAGGGTATTAACAATATTTACTGAAATGAAAGAAAATACATACGGATATTTGGAATGATAGGGAGTGAAATCAATGAGCGTCCTGTATAGGGCATTCCTTGATGGTACAAGTTACATGATAAATTGAAGATTAAAAGATGCATAAAATAAAGACTAGGTTATAATTCTTAGTGGGTAAAAGTCACGGGCGTCCTCGACAAGGAAATGACAAAACCGCCTTATTCAGGGTAAGATACATGGTGGAAAAGAGATTTGAATTGTGAAGCTAACCCATCACACTCTTTCGGAAACCGACTGATAACCCTTGGCTCTTGACACGGTTTCGTCAGAAATTTAGCGACTTAATCTCGCTGGGCAAAAAAGCCAATTAATTTTATCACGAAGCAAAAAAAAAAAAAAGGATTTTTAGGCCGTTTTGTTACAATAACCTTGTTCCCAACATTTTTCCAGATTTTGCTATTCTCATTCAAAAATCATGTGTTCGGTTCACCACTACCCAAGAAGAAAAATTTGCAATCAATAAATGGCTTTGTTAACAAGACAAAACCTAATTCATTATTTACTTGACGCTGACATTCTGTTCTGTCAATTCTAATGTCTATCCTGAGGCATTATTAGAGAGATATTGCAAGTGCTTGCCTTATTAAGGCAAGCCTTATTTCGACAGCTGGGCATGCGCAGTTTCCGTTTGGAATAAGGACAGCCTTATTAAGGATAAGGATCTGCCTTATTTGGGAGAAAATAAGACCTGCTTTATCTTTGCCTTATTCAAAAGTTCTTAGTCGATCGGAGATGATCGGTAGGAATCGCGAGCTGAGTTTTGTTATGTTTTGTGTTGATAGCCATAGATTTTAGATTCATAATATCAAATTTTCACTTTTCTTGAATTTTTTCTATCCAAACTTTGAGAAATGGGGCAAAATGAAAACAGCATCGATGAACAGAAAAGGGGCGGACTAAAGGTTTGTTTGTTTGTGTCGCACTAACTTGAACTACGCTGTATATTTCAGATTATATCTGCCATAATACCATATAAAACGCTCACAAACGAACGCCCCATAGCAGGAAGTGCTGCCCCGAACAACTCAAAAAAACATCAAGGTTTACATATACGATGAACTGGTTTTGCTTAGAGAATTTGTGTCATTTTCCTGCCACTGTTCTACGATTTTACACGTACTGTATAAATATTTTGAACAAATAATTCCTTATTTTCCAAATATCTTAGCATATATTCCACATCAGGAAGAAAACACTTCAGGTTCAAAACCTAAAAAATAAACATTAACAAAAATTCAAGATTTTCAGGTTAGAAATAAGGCATCAACTACTAAAGTCGTTTCTGGAAATTTGCAATATCTGAACTTGTCATTCGAAGTAAGGAAGTGACCTATCGCGTCTAGATAAGGTTTTAGCCTTATTAAGGCTGATTTGCAATATCTCTCTATTCTTGACTTGACTTCACCTAGGTAGAAAATTTGACATTGTTAACAGTTAATGCACTGTTTAATTTTCAACACAGTCAAATTTTCTCTCGAGAGAAAGTCAAGAATAAGGCCTCTGATTCGACTCTTTTGTATCACAATTCCTACCGTCAAATAGGGTAATTCAGTACTTTTCTTCGTCGTCGTTTTTTATCTTCACCTTTTGTATCAACTGACTTTATAAAGACTATACCAGATTGATCTGCTACATAATTTTAGACAAGGCCTTGTATAAAATAGGTTCTCTTTCTGCATAATTAGTAAGCAAGATGATGTCCTAACAGGATTTTTTTACTGTAAAGGGATTCCAATTACTGCAATTCACATTAATTTGAACAATTGATACTATACTTACATTAACAATAAATCTCCCTGCATTAAATTGCACACATTTTACGTTCCATAAATTACATAGAATCACTATTAACGCAATAGCAATCCTGTACATGTTGTTCGATCATGAAATTCGAACAATAAAACATCGTCCTTCCGTTTTATTAATAAAAAAATAATAACAATAAAGAGCTGATTTTATCCGTTGTTTAAAATAATAAATAACGATTTAATAATTTTCGACAGGATTTCGTGTGCTACCGGTTTATATAGTAGGGGCTGAATATTTCTGGGTCATTAATTTTACGACGCTCTGAAATAATGCCGTTTGTCATTCAATTTTCTGGGTCAGAAACGGATTTGTGACGTGCTCGTAATTTAACTGACGAATCGAAAATTTATTGAGATATTTTACGAAATAACGGAAATTATGATAAACATTGACAATGTATTGTAGCAGTCAGGTAGGTAGGTACTTACTTTAAATATTGTCACATACCTACAGGGCTAGTTTGTCCAGGGAAACAGACATGTAAACAAATCCTCTATTAAAGTCAATTACTTACTTTGTCAGGTGAACAGTGAGTCACATGGAAGTTGAAAGTGAAAATTGAACAAATTGAAAACATAGTCGGATGATCACAGTTGAAAAATCACATTATACTTAATAGGACGAAGGGTTTTTGGTCTTGGGTCGTTGTTCACATGGCTCTGAAATAATACCGTTTGACGTTCAATTTTCTGAGTCAGAAACGGATTTGTGAAGTGCTCGTAACTTTACTGATGATCGGAAATTTATTGAAATATTTACGAATTAACGGAAATTATAATAATAATTGACAATGTATTGATTTTTTTCAGGTTCCCGCAGTAAGGTACTTGAAATATTGTCTCTCTCTAGTGTAATGAATTCGAAATTGGATGCCGAATGATCCCGAAAATAGTTCCGAAATTTTATTCCACGACTAAGATTAATTAGTCAACTCGAGAATTGAAACTCTATCAGTTAATTATAAGGTTTCGTTTATTAAAATAGAAATATAATTGTTTAGCAAGAGGGAAACTTGATGCGTTTTAAAAGATTACTTCGTGTTCTCGGTCTGAAGCCCGGATTCAGAATGTCTCGTCTTCAATCTTTCTTTTCCCAAGAAAACAGCTTCATGGGACGGAGGGCGGCTTCTTCAAATTATCCCTTATAAGATAAGAAGTACCTAACTCTATACAGATTTTAAAGTGCTAAAATGTTTTATTACATGCTATTTGGAAAGTTTGTACAATCATAAACACTAAAATTAACTTAAGGGGCTGGGGCTAAGGGCAATAATTCTCACCATCTGGATAATAAAATAACTGAAGGGTATAGGTATCCTGTCTTTGGCGGCAAGAGTACATTGTATTTATTTATATTTACAATAATTGGGGGTTCTGCAATAGAATTATATAAGAAACGGAAACATCTTTTAGTGAAATTAATGTGAACAGGACATTGGTTGTATAATAATTCTAGCGGCATCGTCTTTGAAACCTGAATATGCAATATAAATATAAAGTACCTACCTACCTATTGAAACGAGGAACTAAACTACACAGATGATGGAATTTGCTTAAAGGAAATGTAGTGAAAATTGTATTAATATTAAAATAAAGAATTTACTAATTCACAACACTAGTTTGTCCAACACATGTTGAAAACACCTCGCTTTATCATATGAGAAGGTTTATATAAAAAAGTATAGGCAGTTCTCCACATGGTTCTCCATCTGACAAACGGAGCAAGAGGATACTACTTGATATCTACTATTGAATCGAGTGCCAACTGGTAGGTACCGACGTATGTGGTCAAGAGAGACTTTTCAAATTATAGCTAGTTGGCTCCCTAATTCAGTGAACTGAGGCTGATTGCTCCTGGGTAACTGGTAAAGCTTTTCTGAATACTCTTGTATTGAATTTTACCAGCTGTGTTTTTCGGGTCAGTAGATTATTGTTGAATAGGATAATTCAATGCTTGATTGATGATAATTCTTCACAACGAGATCTTCACCCCAATATGGGTTCGCCTAGTAATTAGACATTGAGCATTCCTCAGGTTTCAGGAAACAGACCTAATTTCATTATAGAAATGCGGAGTGGCATTATGCACGTTCACAGATAAACTGGGCGAAATGAATATTTGTATTCTGTGCATAGATTATTTCATCAATAGCAGCGTTGATTTTAGGCCATCTTCAGTGCTTCCTGAAAGTAAGGGATATCTTTTTAAGCAATTTGGGGTAATTTATTAATTTTTCAATTTTTCTGAATGCCTTTCTTCATAGATTTCGGCTCCAAATCTGAGAATAATTTAGTGTATGAAGTTTGAGGGATGTTAATTGACCATTAGGATACAAAATCTCAACAAAAAAAAATTTAAATTTCGTCGTTTTAGTAAGAAGGTAGATTTTCGAAAAATTTGAAAGGGCATAACTTTTTCTCCATTGTAGATAGAAAGCTGAAATTTTCACTGAATCTTATCTCAATGAAGGGACTACAATCCCTGAAAATTTCAGCCTATTTGCACTCACACGTCGTGAGATAAAATCGTGTTAAGCAATTTGGGGTGATTTATCAATTTTTCAATTTTTCTGGGTGCCTTTTTTCATAGATTTCGGCTTCAAATCTGAGAATAATTTAGTGTATGGAGTTTGGGGTATGTTGATTAACCTCATAGATAAACCTTATGATTTAGATTTTGGAAAACTTTGGAAGGGCATAACTTTTTTTCTATTACAGATAGAAAGCTGAAACTTTCACTGAATTTCATAACAATCAAAGAACTACAATCCCTGATAGTTTCAGCTCATTTGCACTTATAGTTCCTGAGATAAAATCGTGTTAAGCAATTTGGGGTGATTTATCAATTTTTCAATTTTTCTGATTGCCTTTTTTCATAGATTTCGGCTTCAAATCTGAGAATAATTTAGTGTATGGAGTTTGAGGAATGTTAATTGACCATTAGAATACAAAATCTCAACAAAAAAAAAATTGAAATTTCATCGTTTTAGTAAGAAGGTACCTACGTACTTCGAAGAGCGAATCTTGAAAAAAAAAAGCCTTTAGGCGAAAAATTGGATTGGTTTTCTTCGCTTTTCCTAGCCATACTGATGAGACCTGATATAGGTCGAAACGCGTCTATGGATGGAAAAGCGGAGAAAATTAATCCAAAAACTTTTCTCAAACAGTGGTACCTACGTACCTTATGATTTAGATTTTGGAAAATTTTGAAAGGTCTTAACTTTTTTCTATTATAGATAGAAAGCTGAAACTTTCACTGAATTTCATCTCAATCAAGGGACTATAATCCCTGAAAATTTCAGCTCATTTGCACATATAGTTCCTGAGATAAAATCGTGTTAAGCAATTTGGGGTGATTTATCAATTTTTCTGAGTGCCTTTTTTCATAGATTTCGGCTTCAAATCGGAGAATAATTTAGTGTATGGAGTTTGAGGGATGGTAATTGACCATTAGGATACAAAATCTCGACAAAAAAAATTTTGAAATTTCATCGTTTTAGGAAGAAAATACCTACCTTACGATTTAGATTTTGGAAAACTTTGAAAGCTCATAACTTTTTTTCTATTATAGATAGAAAGCTGACACTTTCACTGAATTTCATCCCAATCAAGGGACTATAATCCCTGAAAATTTCAGCTCATTTGCACTTATAGTTCCTGAGATAAAATCGTGTTAAGCAATTTGGGGTGATTTATCAATTTTTCAATTTTTCTGAGTGCCTTTTTTCATAGATTTCGGCTTCAAATCGAAGAATAATTTAGTGTATGGAGTTTGAGAGATGGTAATTGACCATTAGGATACAAAATCTCGACAAAAAAAATTTGAAATTTCATCGTTTTAGTAAGAAGGTAGGTACCTACCTTACGATTTAGATTTTGGTAAAATTTGAAAGGTCATAACTTTTTTTCTATTATAGATAGAAAGCTGAAACTTTCACTGAATTTTATACCAATCAAGGAACTACAATTCCTCATTTGCACTCATAGTTTCTAGGGTTGGATGAACCCACCGGGATACCGGGAAATTCCCGGTGGGCCGATCGGAGTGTGGGCCGATCTTTAGAACAACAGGATTATCAAGATACCTTCAAACCAAAGTCTGAGATCAAACGGACGGCCTCAATATTATGAAAGCACATAAGAATGGTCAATTCTACTTGTGGCGCATTGAAAAAAGAACAACGGAACATGAAAGAAGTATGAAGTGCTAAGAATGTTTGACAATTGGGCAAATACAGGACTGGAAGCAAATGAAAGTGATGTAATAATTCAAGACTCTGTAGCAAAACGCCCCAAGTACTTTATGTAATTAGTTAGATGGTAAATGGCGAGCGGTATATTGATGGTGTTTATATACTTGGAGCTTGCTATCTTAAATCTGTGGAAGAGGGTCTATTTGCAAGAGAGAGAAACAAACTAATGAGGTGTACTAAATTATATTTTATTTCACATAAAACCCAAAAAAATATCAGCCAAATATCTTTCAAATACTTTACATCCTTCTTTATGTCTATAAAGTCAATACTTCACATCCGTTCTATATTGTTATTTTACGGACCACTGAAATATTCCTACTAAATAAGAAACGCCCTATTCATACTATTTCTCATAAATTATAATGTAACTCATTTTTACTACATCCGAATCATTCCTAATAACTATCATTTACCTAATCAAATAATTCTTTAAAATCTCTAAGTCCTTTATTTATGAAAACCCAAGATAATTACCTATTTGTTTATAAACTAATTTATTCTCATAAATTCTTGCAATGACTTCTACTTGAAACATAAAATTCCTAATTCAAAATTCATTTCATGAACAATAAATTCTTTTAACAACTTTCCCATAATTTAAGACAATTCTATTTCATGAACAAGTTTAATTTTCGAAACATCCTATTTCCTTTTAATTAGTTTATTTAATCAGAACAAATTCTATTATAATTTTCCTTTTTAACAACATTTCAATATTTCAAGAAAACAATTCTATTTTATGTCATCAAATTTCTTTTCAAAATTTCCTATTGCAGTTAATAGTTTATCAGAACAAATTCTATTTTCGGATTCCTATGCCTAGCTAATAAATCCAAC